AGAACGAAAGGAATGGTGGTGGTAGTGATTCTCGAAGCCATTTTCGACGGTGAATGAACGTCACTTGAAACAAACCTTGTTTGGGTGACGGCCGTATTTCTCCGCGGCGTGATTTCCGCGTACGTCGAAGAAACACCGAGCAATTAAGGCCCTTCTTCTGGATTCGACAGCCACTCACGTCGTATTCTCGACGTTTCCGGAACGCTCGCGGAATTCTTCGCGTCGCTGTCGCACCTCCTCCAAACATTTTCGCATTTAGGGTCGATTCTTCCGACGTGCGGTTAACGCTTGTTTCTCAACTCACTGCACGTTCTTTCTATTACGTCTGCTGTAACCACCGTACGTCTGTTGTTACAACTGGTGATTATGACGTAGGAAACAAAAGAGCATTTAGAGCCTTGCTACTAGTTGCTCTGTTATTCCCTTTTGTTTCCTCGTTTAACAGAGAAACCTTTAGGAAGGATCGATCGGGAAAATCAAGGAGTTATTGCTTCGCGTAGAGTCAAGAACGTACAAGAGATTGTTTTCTTGCATACTAAGACAAGGCTTCTAATCAACAGATTTCCAATTTCTGTAATTGATTTTTTTATATGTATATTGAATGTTGTACATAAAATTTACAAAGTACCAATATTAATCACTAACAATTAATATGTGAAATAACATCGATTTCATTTCCTCCTTTTCATCTCCTTTTATATTTTTATATAGTCTTTATTGTACCTTTTATTGCTTTTATTTGTAGATATAACAACGAATAAAGAGAAAATAAAGAAAATGAATTTCAATTTTTAATTATTAAAATTTTTTGTGATGCAGTTTTAAAATATAATTTTGGTGTAATGTTTGTAGACGAATAAAATTATGTTCTAAAGTATATTTTTTCTTATATTCATTCTTTTTGTGTAAGCAACTAAAAATGACAATTTTTTCGTTATAGCAAATGAGCGATGTACTAATTCTTTTTATATTCTTTTTCATCTTTTTGTATTTTTAAAGATTTGCAATCAAAAATTAAATTATGGTCAGTCTGTTACGACTTTAGACCTGTTGAGCTAGAAATACTTTTCATAATGAACTGTCGTCGGCTATCCTTGTCATGGGAGCCGTCTTATTACGTCGGTATCGCGATACGGCACAGCAACTCGCTTATAATCCGATTTCATTGTTGTGTTGTCGCTGTCGTCGTCGTCATCGTCACAGCAGTTCGTACAAGCGTGATTAAAGCGCGACGTCGTGACTGCAAAAAGGACTCCAGTGAAATTGAGGAGAACGTAAAGAGACATTGACAAGAGTTGATTTTTAATTCATTCGCGAGTAGTCAAATTCTGCCGGTCATAATTTGAATCCCTTTTATACTTGTTAATGCCGATCCTGATGTTTATCAGATAGAAGATAAACCATTTAATTCTCACTGGATTTCTCTATTAAGTTCGGATAACTTGCTCTACATAAGTTGAAAATAAGTATAAATTGAAAAAAATTGTTTAATTGAATGTACATTACAAATTATGATAGACATAACAATATTAACATAGATAATATACTAGGTAATATAATAGGTAATATACTATTTATTTTATTATTTGTTATTTATTAATAAGAGATTGGTCTGTTATTTGCTTTTAATATATATTCTATACTTGTTGAAATAGTTTTTCAATGTTTGATTTGAATAATTATCAGTGAAATGTTGTACTATTCTTTCAGTAGAACATTTTTCAATTGCTTATATAATTGGAGAATGAAATTTTCTTTTCACTCAATTTTCTAATTGAATTATAATGAAATGTTGACTAATGAAATGTTGTGATATTCTTTTAGTAGAATATCTTTCAACTATTTATATAAATTATATTTTTATTACTCCAAAATTATTCTTTATTCTTCAAAACCAATATCTTTCCTATCTCAGACAATCGCCTTTATTTGTATGTAGTTTTGAAGAGCAGAGTGAAAAACAGATTTTCTCCTTCAATATCTTTTTGAGCAATTATAAGATATTCTACTAGAAGATTACACTGTAGTAGTTGATACACTATTCACATATGACTATTTCCACCAAGAATGATGGAATAATAAAGACAAATATTGAGGATAGACCCCAATTCTATTTATTAATTAAATACTAGTAGATAAAATATTTTGTAGATGCTTACATTATTTTGTTTACCCCAATATTTTATCTGATATCCGAATCATCGATCGTTTCTAAATAATGCTTGGTCTACCATATTCTTTGTCTGCGGTATATGATATAATGTGATTATACGCGGTTCCATTTATAAAATTGGTTCGGTTTATCAGATGAATATATTATATAATTTAAAAATTCCACTTATTATATATTCCATTTCATTGCCGTGGGATATTTATATTTCCCCTGTACATACAAATTCGTTTGCGCGATTAATTGATCAACTGATTAATTAAATCAATTATCCGCTAATAACTCGTAATCCACAAATTATTTTTAATTATCTATCTCTTGTCCTATTCTACATTATATCGATTGATTCAAATAAAAATATCCTTCACTCGTTCGAGCTCCAAGACGTGAAAGAGGGATGGAGGGACGGGGCGAGCTGGGAGGGGGAGGGGGAGGGGAGATTAAGGATGGAACGCCTCTAAAATATCCATCTTCCTTAACCCGGTAAGAAGCGCATTTTCCGATCAGTTAAGCCCGACTAAACCTCAGCGACGTTTCTAAGAGAGCCTCGGAACGGGTTAGGAAAAGTGGTAAGGAAAAAAAAGACTAGGAAAACGGCGGCAAAGTCGAGAGAGGAGGATGGATTTCGGTGGGTTCTTTCCGAAGCGAGAACGGAGGAAGCGCTCTCGAAGTTCGACTAGATAGAACCGTGATTGAAAACACCGCCCCCGGCGGCACAAGCTTAAGTAAGTGTACACACATACACAAGGGTGTATATGCGTGCATATCTTGCGCGTTCTTTGACTTCCCGCTACTGCATATGGAATAATGTAAGTGGCCGAGAATTCTATAAGTTCTTCTCTATTTCACGGGCTCCAGATGAAATTTTCGCCGGACTGCATCCGTCTTTTTCTACTAGAATCATGCGAGCTTGATTCTTCGCGTCTCGCGTACACTGTTAAATCTATGGAGCAAATTTAACTTAACGTGAGTCGCCATTGCTTCTACTTAATCTTATTGTTATTTTATACTAAAACAATGGTTATATTTGACACTATATAGTGTCAACTTGACAATATAATGTCACGATATAGTGTCAAATTTAATTATCGTTTTGATAAAAAATAATGATGTATTTAGTAGGAGCAGTGGCGACTAACACTAGATTAAATTTGATTCTATAGATTTAACAGTGATAAGAAAAGAAGTGATAAGAATCGGTCTCATCCTTTCTTCCGGTGATTTTAAAGACTGAAAAATTGACATTTCTTAAATGTCAAATTTATAGTAATTATGCAGACGATACTGTTATTCATAATGTCAAATTATTATAGCTATACAATTTGAGTTATTTTTCTCATTTCTATAGGGCGCCACTTCTCTTATAATATATCGTTAATTTGATTAAAAGGATGGCGTTAAAAAATTTAATTCAAGAAAATGTTTATTAAATTAAATTTGATTCAATGTAATCTATTATTCATTAAGTACATATTTTAATATGAACGATTTGAAACTAACACAAATGGATTGATTTATATTTTGACACACATGGAAATTAAAAATAATAAAATTATTTAAAATTATTTAACTCAAAAGCGTTACTATTGCTCCTTTGATTAATGTTTGCTTAATGCTCTAGCAGACATCTAGATATTTTGTTAGCGATAGTTTTATCTTTATAGATAATCTTTGCCTGTATTCCTTGACAAACGATTTTTATTAAGCGTTGGCTAATCGTCTTGAAGATAAAAGATTTGTTAAATTTCTTTGTGTTATAATTCGACATTTATCCTTTAAAAGTTTGGAAACACTGTTTTCTTTTTAATTAAATAATTAAAATATCGCTATTTCCAAAACGCCATAATATGAGAACTTGGCCTTGACTATCTGTTTCAACTACAACGACACACTCGGTAAAATTCTTTAAATAAAATATTTTATATATTTTTTATTGAAAGTATAATATAATTAGATCATTCAACACACTATTATTCTAGAATAGCTTATTCAATACTTTCATTTGTACAATATTCTAATTATACTTTTAAGGAAATATTTTATTTAAAGAATTTTACCGTGAACCAAGTGAACGTGCTATATATTATTGTATTATCAAAAAATAAATTTTCTTTGAATGAAATGTAATTATTATCATTATTATTATTTGTTTATTAATTACAGTCTGACATTATAAAGAGATCGATTTTTTATTTTTTATAATGTGACTAAAAGTATTTAGTAATTAACTTTACAAATTAATAAGCAAGATGTCTCGAATTTGTATGGCAGATTAAATAACTTGTATGGCAAATTAATAATAAAGAAATAGACATAATTAATAAATCAAAAATGTAATGAACTTTCAGATACTAATAATTTCAAGTAATTATTGTAACATATTATTTCATAGCAATTAAAGCTTTATATAGTTGATTTTTTTACTATATGTTTTTTTACAAGTTTATAAATTACTTCCAAACTTTTGAAGGAGTAATATACTTAAAAATATAATACTTAAAAAGTTAAGATAATTAATTCATAATTATAATTGTAGAACGATATGCGAATATTATGTCCTTTACGAAACGAACTGTTTAATTATCTTAAAACATATACATGAGAGCTTAATTATATTTAGACAATTAACCTTGTTGTAGTCTTGGAAAGACAGTAATGAGATTATTTTCTTAGGTATTACATGATCCCAACATTTTTTCTTATTTATGAGATCATTTATATCTTTTTTCCTTTCTGGGCTATATTTATAGTGACGTAGACATTAAGTTCTCAGCTCATTCTTTTTAGCTTTATTCGACGACTCACCAGGGATCCATTCTTTTTGTTTCAGGTTAAGCTCGACAAGAGTCACAGCGGCAAACCTTCCAGAGTCATTCATATCAGGAACATACCTAACGAGGTGACAGAGGCAGAGATCATTCATCTAGGTCTGCCGTTTGGCCGTGTTACCAATGTACTTGTTCTCAAGGGCAAGAATCAGGTAAGTCCAGATTAATTACAAATCTCTTACTGTTTTTTTTTTTATTTCAAATGTTGTTTCCAAAGATGCATAAAAGGTAATTACAAATCGTCTACTTCGTATTGATATCAGCACAAACTAAAAATAATAGTAAAAAATTAACATCGATGCATAAAAGAAAAAATTGAGTGGAAGAATATCCCATTTACTCGGGCTGCCTCATCGCGATATCTTTCAGCGCTGCAAACGGCACCATCGTTCCATATAACGGCGCCGTTTGCACGTGCTCCGCGACATTGTATTCTTGCCAGACTGAAGATGAGAGTGCTGCAACGCGTTCGAGAGGGAGAAAGAAGGATAGTAGGTGAGTTTGTGCCGCATGAATGACACGTTTCGACGACCGTGACGCGCATGGATGGCCGTGCAATAGCGGAGACAATCGAATTGCCGATACGCAGTCGAATCTAGTCGAGTCGAGTCGATTCGAGTCGAGTCGAGTTGACGATCGTCTCGTTTAAGCATTATTATCCATTATTACCCGCGCCGCATTCCTCCCCGCGTCGCTCTCAAAGGCGACCGCGTGCTCTCAACCCATAGAAGCGCAACCCCTCGACGTATCGTCATCCTCGTCAATTCTGATCTGTTTAACAACTCGTTTCCCCTCCCCTTTCTATCGACGCTCGTTCGTGACGCTACACGCATCGCAAAGCTATTATTTCGTACGATGAGAGAGCCGGTTTATCGAGTTCCAGTGTCGGTTTATCGAGCAGCTTGTCTCGCTCTTGTGTTATCTGCTGTAGATGTTGTGCTTAAATACATTCCCTTACTTCGGTGGTAAGAGAGTTGAAGGTATCTTTTACTTTCGGTCGTTTTTTGTTTCCGTTAATTCACAAAGTCTTACGTATCTCTGACATTTATATTGGATTGGAACAAAAGTTAGTAGCGCTACTTCATTTTTTTTTGACATTTAATAGAACATTTTAACTTTAACTCTGTTTTTTTAATAGCAGTATGATAACTTTTAACGGAATTGCGAGCAATCAAGTCAAAATGCTCCAGTTATTTTGCAATAACTCAGTAACAAAAAAATCTCAGGAACATCTTTAAAAAATTTTGTAAAGAAAACTTTAAGCTTTTATCTTACAAAGTCACAAATTTTCGCAAGTTCTTTTTTAGGTACACGACAGATCACAAAGTGAGAAGAAAATTTCCCATTTTGTCCATCTAGCTCGTAATTTTCTGTATGTAAAAATTAACTCACAGAAACTCAAAAAAACTTTTCGAAGATGGAGTTTTTAAAAACTTTAAAATCTTTATAAATTTAAATTTCGTTTATTTTTAGAGTTACAACTGCTTAAATTTTAAAATTTTTAATGCTACGATCTTTCCAAATCATTGTATTATTTAATATTTAATTTGTTAAGTGAATTTAAAATTCATAAAATGAATCAAAATTAAGAAAAATGCAACATAAATGAATGAAGAGAATCATATTCAGTCAAAGCGGATTTTAGTGCTTAATAATAGTTTCGAATTGGTAAGACGCTTATACAGAATGAGAGAGATCAGAATTCGAATCCCTGCTGAGGTGATATCTTTCACAATAAATTCTTTACGGTATTTTAAATATCACTAATATCAATAATATTAAATTGTTTATCAATTTAATTGTGATATTACATACTCTAATAGTTTTAGTCTAGGACTGTTTTAAAACTGACAAGTAATTGGCACGCAATTTATTTAAACTGGAAATTATAAAAATTACACATAAATATTAAATATCAAGACCTACCTTAATATGGTCCTCTTCATCCATCTACTTGATTTTTATTTTTATTTCTATTTTTTTTTTAATAAATGTTTATTTTTTTTAAATATAAATATTGTTAAAAGTTTGCATTCGCATATATAGAGGAATCCTTCATTAACGGGAAAATAAATTATCTATTGCGTTTTAGTAGCTGTAATTGGGTTGATATAAATTTTAATGCTTTCCCTTCACTGCGCGTTACGGTTGGATCAAAACCGACGGAATGGCAAATTCGGAGCAATTTCGTGGCGTAACTATCGCAGTGGCGCGATCGAGTTTTACGAACGATACTAACCATCCGCGATCTCTCCCGGAGTACGCTCAATTACGCACAAACGAAATTACGTTTACGCGAGCGCGCGCGAGTGTCGTTCCAGCCTGCGTGATCAAAATATCAATTCGTTTTGGCGATATTAATTCCCTGCCCGCACGTGCGACAATACTCACTAGAAGGTTAACGTTCGCTTCATAAAGTTCTGCGAGTTTTGCGACGTGCGGCAACACGAGGGCGTATTAAAGTAATGATGCTCGTCCATTTCTTAACGCATCGCGACTTTGCGTTCGCATACGATGCAATCGCTGTAAGTATCTCTCAGGTACACTCAGATGCTCTATATCTCTTATTTGTATGTTTACGATTCAATTTTATATCAATGAATACGTTTATATAGCTATACGAATATTAGTAATCAATTTAATGGAATAATAATATTGTTTATATATTACTAAGAAATAATTCGCGGTACATTATAGGTTTTTATACTCCGTTACTTATAGATTATATAATATTATATGTATAATCTAATGTAAAATGTTTTGATTAATTTTATTATAAATATATATA